TTTCATTTTTATCACTTTTTTTAATACATTATGATTGCTTATACCAGTGAATTTCACTGATATAATCAACCATTTTTACTGATTCATTCAGTGCATATTGTGATTAGCTCTGACTGGCCAAAGTTAATCCTATGGCACAGATGGGCTGTAATTGGCCCTGTCTGTACCATGTGATTACTGTGACCAATCACAGCTTGCAACACAATTGCACACAGTGAATGGCATGAATCAAAGCCATTTATTGTTTACAATTGTCTTGTGATCCACTGTGATTGGTCACAATGATCACATGATATTGGCAGTGTGCCGGTACAATAATCTGCCATCGGCTGTGTCTGGTGGACACAGCCGGTGACAGATTGTGCCTGCTACGCCCACGACAACAAAAACCTGTAAATCGACTCGCAGTTCTGCTAAAAGGCTGACAGTCGATTAATGAATTGTAAATGCAGAGACATACAAAGCAGTGTGCAGGAGCTGACAGGGGAGAGAATTGTATTGTTTACATACAGTTCTCTCCCCCATCGGTAATACTCGACAATCGCCAGGTGCCGGCGAGTAACCACCGGCCGGGACCCGGTGATTGACAGCTGAGAATGGCAGTGCGGGTAGGGCGTGCACCCTACCTGGAAATGCAAAATCACGTATATATACGTGATTTTGTGCACCTCTGCCGCCCTGTAGCAGTACTTCTTCTATAGGCGGTAGGAAAGCGGTTAATGGATCGGACAGATTAGAATCAGAAGGATCCTATATTTTCGGATGCTAGTCAAACCCACTGAAATGGCATGAGCTGATTGGACAATATTAACTAAAGTCATGTGCAGCCGATGAAACAAAATTTGGATCCATTCGTTGTCTGAATTACTGAAAAAATTAAAAAATTGAATTTGCTTCCCCAAACTATTATCGCATCATGTGACGTCACCTGAATGAAACAAATGCATTAGTTAATTTCATTATAACATTTATTTTGGTTTGTTGACATTCGTTCCTATGTCCATTCGGAGATTCGTATACATCTGAAAATTATAATACAATAAATATACTGTACACACACACACAATATATATATATATATATATTTTTTTTTTTTTTTTTTTTTTTTTAGCAAGATGCTGTATACTGCATTGTCTTTGTTACATTAGCAAAGGCGTATCACACAGTTATACCTTCTAATTGTATACAGCACTAAATACAGCTGCAAAACATTGAGACATCACTGTGTGAAATCTAGCGTAAGCTGTTCTGTACACGGGTTTTGTGTTATTCATGAAAACTTTTGATGCCCCTACAGAAAAACCATGCAAACAAGTCCTTTGTGTAGGAGGGTGACTCACTTCCTCCTCTCTCGTTTTTTAGATTGCGGAATGTTTGCAGAGCTGCCAGCATGTATGAATGTGTACAGGATGTGCAGGAAACAGCATGTCATAGGGCAACTACAATATTCCTTGCTGTAGTAGCTGACAATCAAAATTTGCTTTGAAACATCTGACAGATGTTAAATCAGCTATAATTTGTTTAAAATGTTGGGAAATGGAAACAAAGTTATTCATAATCACATGGGTGCTGTTTTTAACATCATACAGTTCTCTTTTAGGCCCAACTGCTTTTTATTGCCAAGCTCCCTCCCTATAGTCCACCCTACCCCATCACAAAAAAATAAAAAATTACACTTACCTTTTTTCCTTCAGTCTAGGTGGTCTGCTGATATCATAGGTCCTTCATCTTCTTTCTTGGCAGTGGTGGTGAGTGCTCCTTACTCCTGACCGCCATGAGTACTGTGAGCCCAGGCCCAGATCTAAGGGGGTGCTGGGGTGGGCTTTTCCCCCCAGATTTTAGTTGCCCCCACCAGATCTTTGAGAGTGCATCCAATTGATCCATGAGACTTGATGGGGACAATCAATGTAATGGGGACAGTTGAAGTAAAAGGGGGAACTCTGATGGGGACAGTTGATGTAAGGGGGCACTTTGAGGGGAGGAAATGATGTAAGGGTGCACTCTGATGTGGATATTTTATGTAAGGGGCACTCTGATGAGGACACCTGAAGTAAGGGGGGACTCTTATCCCCAATGGAATGGAGAACTCTGATGGGGACAGTTGATGTAAGGGGGCACTTTGAGGTGGGGAAATGATGTAAGGGGTGCACTCTGATGTGGACATTTTATGTAAGGGGCACTCTGATGAGGGACACCTGAATGTAAGGGGGGACTCTTGAAGTAAAAGGGGGGAACTCTGATGGGGACAGTTGATGTAAGGGGGCACTTTAAGGGGAGGAATTGATATAAGGGTGCACTCTGATGTGGGCATTTTATGTAAGGGGCACTCTGATGAGGACACCTGAAGTAAGGGGGGACTCTTATAGGAACCCCGATGGAATGGAGAACTCTGATGGGGACAGTTGATGTAAGGGGAACTCTGATGGGGACAGTTGATGTAAGGGGGCACTTTGAGGGGAGGAAATTATGTAAGGGTGCACTCTGATGTGGACATTTTATGTAAGGGGCACTCTGATGAGGACACCTGAACTAAGGGGAGACTCCTATAGGAACCCCGATGGTAGGGGGAACTCTGATGGGGACAGTTGATGTAAGGGGGCACTTTAAGGGGAGGAATTGATATAAGGGTGCACTCTGATGTGGGCATTTTATGTAAGGGAACTCTGATGAGGACTCCTGATGTAAGGAGGAACTCTGATAGGAACACCTGATATAAAGGGGCACAGGTTATCTTTAATTATCCTAATACATACTAGTGTTCTCTGTTCACTCCTGCACTTCCTCTGCACTGAATAGAGAGAAAACAGAGGGCGCACCAGCCTAGTGCATTACCTTAAAAAAAGCATTTATTAAAGAGATAAAATAGGTATTGTGCTCACAAATGACAATACAGTCAAAGGCACATCATGAAAGACAGTTGGCTCTGAGGAAGAGGCAAGTCCTCGAAACGCGTTAGCCTGTTGGAAGTCCAGGGTTCCCATTGTGGATTGGACAGAGCTGTTCTTTCATGATGTGCCTTTGACTGTATTGTCATTTGTGAGTACAATACCTACTTTTATCACTTTAATAAATGCTTTTTAAGGTAACGCACTAGGCTGGTGCGCCCTCTGTTTGTTTTCTCTCTATTTAGTACATTTGGACTTCCCCGGTCCTCTGAGGGCAGCAAGAAGTGCACATTGCAGGACATCCGTGATGTGGTCTTAATCTCTACTGAATCCATCCCTAAGCGCAGGAGTATTTGGGTTTGCCACCTCCTTTGCACTACCTGTCAGACGTTACATTCAGGTTGTGACTCCATGGTACAGAAGCGTACCAAATGAACAGGGAATACTGGTTCCATGCATCTCTGTCACACTATTGACATTATGCCCCCTGAGCCTTTTTTACTCCATCCCCAAATCAGATAGGCTAGATTCAGCCCTGGAGCCCATGTTGGGAGCATGTCCATAATAGCCAGGGCATGGGAAAGGATTACAACCCCAAACAGGTTTTTAGGCTAGGTTCACACTAGTGCAGGTTGGGAACAGGTCCAAAATTGCATGCTTTCCTGACATACACAGAAAGGCGCTGCCCATTGTTAATGGCACCCCATTGCATCTGCTAACGCACACACCAAAACACATGGTACCACAGCACTATGCGTTTCAGTGTGGCACAATTTTGGAAACAGGTCTGGCACTTTTTTTTTTCTGTTTCTTGCGTGTAGGGCAGCCCGTTCAAATGAATGAGCTGCCCTACATGTGATGCATGGAAACACATGCATGCGCAAGTGTGAACCAAGCTTTATAGCCATTTGTGTCCTCACTACTGAGATAGGCCCTTTCTGCCTGTCAGGGAGACCACTGTCTGTGGGATTCAAAGTGAAGGAAAAATCCAAACTTTTGAGTTGTCACCAAATTAGAATAGAGGGGATATCCTCCATTGGGGACATGTTTTACTGAGAAGGCATTTTCACACCTAAAGCAGACCTTCACTCCCTAAGGGACTTTAAGCTCCTGCCTGTGTTCTGTGCAATATTAAAAGATTTTTTTTCCTTAATCTGCTGCAATCATTCTCAACTAGTCGTGATTGATGTGCCCTGCTCGAGCAGCCACTTGGGATATCCCCAGCATATTTCCCTGGAGGCTGCAGTTCCTAATACACAGATATATCAGAGTGCAGAGCTGGAGGCACAGCGTTGAGGGGCCTTCTGCTTGAACTCAGAAGAGATGGCTGACTCCCAATGACTGAACATGGCTAAGATGACAACTCGGGATATGGGCTGGTGCAGCAGAACAGATGACAACATTGGATTTGTTGGGTGCTATCTCACTTTCTGGTGAGTATGTTGTCTGAACAGAACCCCACATAAAAAGTAACAGGGGATGATGAAGGTAAAGCTGAGGGGGGCAAGAAAGGGCTTGAAGATGCTGGCATTTTTCAGCCAGGTAATGAGGTGGGCGCTATCTCACTTTCTGCAGCTTCTAATGCACACTGTGAGAAACTCATCTGTACAATTATGCAACTTTGAAGGTAAGGCTGGACTTCAGCTGTGCTATTTATATGGAAAAATGGAATCATGTGAACAGTTAGAACTGTATTATGTATAGGTATGGAGCATGGACTACCAACAGTGCCACCCTGCATTTGCAAAATCATACGCTTATTAACCCCAAGGATGCCGACGGCACACAAAATATGCAGCCTCACAGAACTGGGCTTTTTTCTGTGGGGCCGCATATTTGCGTACCTGTCTTTGTGCTGGGAGCGTGCCGCTCAGTGCGCTCCCAGCACAGAGACCGCGGTGTCACTGGGACCCGGGACTCCCAATTCCGAGTCACGTGATCGCTGTGATAGCCTCTGATTGGCTATCACAGTGATCAGTCACTGTGCAGCCCAGCCCCTTGTTTTTTCTCTCTCTTTATGAATGGAGAAGAAAGATACATTGTATCTCTCTAACTCCTGACATAGAGAGATTAAAAATTATCTTTGTAAAAAAAAAACAAAGATAAATAAATATTAAAAAAAAAAAAATAAAAAATAAAGAAAAATACCTAGATCAAGGTTTGATCTAGTTCAGTGCCAGGGTTAGTGTTTGGGTCAGGGTCAAAGGTCAGGATTAAAAAAAAATTGGTATCAGTGTCAGTTAGCGTTAATGTCAGTGTCAGTGTGTTTTAGGTAAAAAAAACAAACAAAAAAGACAAAAACAAAATGCGCACTATTGTTTCTGGGCTGTACTACGGGTACAAACAACAAATAACATACACATATATGGTATCGCTGTGATCGTCAAGAGCTGGAGACTTTATTTTTGGTTGTTCTATGGAGGTAGGTTATGGTCGTAACAAGAAACACACAGCTAAATAAAAAAAAACTTTTTTTACTATTTTGGGCCAGTTTTCCTTTGATAATAGAAAAAAAAAGCTATCCATTACCATTTGCCACCAAATGAAAGCCCAATTTGTCCTGAAAAAAACGCGGTATAAATCCACCTGGATGTACACAGTAGTTGTGATGATATGGACGGTTTTACTAACACATGTCAATGTTGCAGAATTGTGCTTAGGCATTTAGATTTGTTTTACCCTTAGGCTTGAAGGGGTTAAAGTACCCCTGTCATCCGTGGAACACAGAGGCTGCCATTGTTGCCCCCACCTCCTTCTGATAATGTAAACTCCCAGGCTTTCGTTCTTGAGTTACTGGCCTGGAACAAGCATGCTGTAAATGACAGGAAAACAAATATCAGAATTATTTATTTCTTTACTTCTTTCAGGACAGTGACAAGTATGCATTCTTGATTTCTGGGTCATTGACTCACTAAGCGATGATACCACGATAAGGGTGACAGCTATGGAAGTTGCACCTTTGAAGAAAAATGCCAGATGCTGTTAAAAAAATTACAACTGTGAATACAAAGTGGGAAAATTAATTATTTGATTCCCTGCAGATTTTGTAAGTTTGCCCACTTACAAATAAATGATAATAATATAATTTTATCATAGGTGTACTTTAAATGATAACAGAATATCAACTGAAAATTCAGAAAAAACATATAATACATATGTTATAAACTGAGCTGCAGTTCAGTGAGTAAAATACGTATTTGATCCCCAAGTAATAAACAATTCTGGCTCCCACAGACTGGCTATGTGCTCATGTGGTACACAGATTAGTCCTGTCAGTATAAGAAGATGTATAAAAGCCAGCTGTCCACAGAATCTCTTTCTTGGGCACCACCATTGGCAAGACCAAAGAACTGTCAAAGGAATTCAGGGATAAGAATGTAGACCTGCACAAGACTGGAATGGGCAACAAGACCATCAGCAAGAAGCTTGGTGAGGAGACAACTGTTGGAGTGATTATTCACAAATGGAAAAAATACAAAATAGCCATCAATTGCCCTCAGTCTGGCGCTCCATGCAACATTTCACCTCATGAGGTAAGGATGATCATGAGAAAAGTAAAGGATCAGCCCAGAACTACACGGGAGGAGCTTGTAAATGATCTCAAAGCAGTTGGGACCACAGTCACCAAACAAACCATTGGTAACACAATAGGCCGCCATGGATTCAAATCCTGCAGTGCCGGCAAGGTTCTCCTCCTCAAGAATGCACATGTACAGGACCGTCTGAAGTTTGCCAATGAACATATAAATGATTCAGAGAAGGATTGGGAGAAAGCGCTGAGGTCAGAAGAGACCAAAATTGAGCTCTTTGGCATAAACTTGACTCGCTGTGTTTGGAGGAAGAAAAATGCTGACTTTGACCTCAAGAACACATCCCTACAGTCCCCCTACACCTTCAAGCACAGAGGTTGAAACATTATGCTTTGGGGCTGTTTCTCTGCTAAAGGTTCAGGCTGACTTTGCCGCATTGAGGGGCCAATGGACGGGGCCATGTATTGTAAAATCTTGGATGAGAACCTTCTGCCCTCGGCCAGAACACTGAAGATGGGTCATGGATGGGTCTTCCAGCATGACAATGAGCTAAAACAAACCACCAAGGCAACAAAGGAGTGGCTCAAGAAGCACATTAACACCCTGGTCACACATCTGCAGCTTGCAAGACACAGATGTCTATGCAAGTTGCACCTGAAGTAGTGCATGCACTACTTTGGCAATCGGTGCGGCTCTGATCAAGTCAGAATTGCACCGCTATGATCACTTTAAATGTGGGCAATAATGTGCAACTTGCAATAATGTGCGATTTGCAAACCTGGTGTGACTGGAGTGTAAAGTCATGGAGTGGCCTAGCCATTCTCCAGACCGTAGCCTCCCTGGCGGTATTCCCGAGTGTAGCTCAGGGTAAAGTTTCAGTACCAAAAGCGGTGAACCCCGAGCTACACTCGGGCTTACCATGCGGCGCTGCTCCGGGATCTGTTCTTCTCTTACCTTGTCCTGCGCTCCCGCGATGTCCCTCCTGCAGTGTCCCCTGTAATCTCCTCCGGCGGATGCCGACATCTGTCTTCTGGGTTCCGTCCCCTGCGACGTCGGGACGTACGGGGGATGGAAGTGGTGGGAAATTTGAAAATTACAAAAAGTGACATTCACTAAATACACTAAAATCACATAGTAAAACATTACTGTATCAAAGCATTTCACATACATTTTGTCCCTAGTGCTTTGTCCTGTGCCCTGCCTGCATTTATACTGTTTTTTTCTGCCTGGAAACTGAGAAACGTCCATGGCGTCCAAAAAGTGTCCCTTTAGGTCAAAATCAGTTTTAGACCAGCTAGAGAACAGCGATAGTAAATTAGAAACCACTTGCAGAATTGAGTGATTATTCGTGGGGAAATTTGTCATCAGACACTGAAAACGATTCTGCGACTTTGCTCAGTGATGTGCGAACTTGGCACTATATTTCAAATTTCAGTGTTTTTGGTTTGATTATATTATTTAATGAAATTTATTATTATTATATTATTATTTTTATGATTATTTATTAAATTTTTATTTATGATTTCGTGTTTCAGATTTTATCCTACCCGGGATGTTTACTAGACTCTTGTTCGGACAGATTTTAGTGAGTTATTCCTAAAAATTACATGCCTACAATAAAAAAAAATACATATTTCCATGCAAAAAAAATGTACCGCTTTGAGCACAGAAATATGGACATAATCAGACTGCTAGGGAGGTTAATCCTATAGAAAATTTATGGAGGGAGCTGAAACTTAGAGTTGCCAAGTGACAGTCAAGAAACCTTTAGAGGATTTAGAGAAGATCTGTGAAGAAGAGTGGATCAAAATCCCTCCTGAGATGTGTGCAAACCTGGTAACCAACTACAAGAAACGTCTTACCTCTGTGCTTGCCAACAAGGGTTTCTCCACCATGTCATGCTTTGCTTTGGGATTAAATACTGATTTTACTCACTGAACTGCAACTCAATCTATAACATTTGTATCATGTGTTTTTCTGGATTTTTGGTTGATATTCTGTCTTTATCATTTAAAATACACCTATAATAAAAATGATAGAACCTTCATTTCTTTGTAAGTGGGTAAACTTACAATATCTGCAGGGGATCAAATAATTATTTCCCCCAAAATAATGGTGTAAAATTGTCCAGTTATATTGTGGTAAAAGTGTTTTGCACCTGCTGAGATCTGCCTAAGTATTCAATATGCAAACGACCCCCCTTCCCCAATAAAACCTGACAACCACAACAATGTCTTCACTGTTTGAGTCATGACTTCTCTATAGGAAGATAAGAGGAGGGGTGTGTGGATTCCAGCCCTCTAGGATGACTTTCTTTATACAGTAATTAATTCTGCAGATCATTCAGGTATATTTTTAATAGGTGCAGCACCATCTACTGGCAAGGGAAAGAAGCTTCAGATCCACAACAAGGAACTGTTGGATTACTTTTATTTTTGCCTGACTCCAAGTTGCCTGCAGGGAGGTGCAGAGGAGCAAGGGGAGCCATGGAGGCATAAAAAACTTTGAATTTTTCTGCATCTGAGAGACTGTTGGAGCTCTCTGAACCCCAAAAGCAGTAAAATCTTAAGTCACAAACCTTGACCCTAGGTTCACACTGCGGATTTCAGTGCATTTTCCAGTTTGCAGAAATGCACTAAAGTCCCTTTAACATGATTTCCTATGGATCTAGATCACATCTGTATGATTTGAGCTGGTGTGGTTTTTTTTTAAAGGGTCAGGGAGTTTTTTCCAGAAGCAGATTGTGTTTTTTTGTGTAATGGACTTCAATGGAACCACACCAAAAAAGTAAATGTTGCATTTTTGATGCGTTTTGGGTTTTTGTTTTTTTTTTTTGCCAAGAAGAAGAGCAGGGGTTTCAAACTTCAATACTGTTAGACCGGTTGCAAGGGCATTAACAGCTGATCACCCATGAAGGTAAGTGTAGCGGGGACCCGGGGGTTAGGAGGGTGTAGGGTGCTAGTTCAGCTTTTTTATTTTTTTCTAAAAAAGTGAACCTACGCTTTAAGGCTAGGTTCACACCACTGCATGTTGCAATTGATGCGTTTTTTTTGCATGTTTTGCCAATTATTTATTTATTTCAGGTACTTCTATAGTGCTGTCAATTTACACAACACTTTACATATATATTGTACATTCACATCAGTCCCTAACTGTCAAGGGGAGTACAATCTAAGGTCCCTAACTACATTCACACATACTAGGGCCAATTTGTACAGAATCCAATTCACCTACCAGCATGTCTTTGGAGTGTGGGAGGAAACCAGAGTACCCAGAGGAAACCTACACAGTACAGGGAGAACATGCAAACTCCAGGCAGGTGGTGCCATGGCTGGGATTCGAACTAACAACCCTAGTACTGCCAGGCGGAAGGGCTAACCATTTAGCCATTGTGCTGCCAATAGGAAAGTATTGACTTTGATGCGACTTTACACTCTCTGGCACTTAAGTAAGATGTAAGTAGCATCAAAGTCACATGAACAGAACGTCCATAAAATTAATCCAAGTCCCACCTATCCAAAGTCACAGCACAGTCAATACTTTCCTATTGGCAAAAAAACGCATCAACACACAAAACGCACCAGGAAATACATCAATCGCAACACACAGAGGTGTGCACCTAGCCTTAAAGCGTAGGTTCACCTTTTTACAAAAAGAATTAAAAGATGAACTAGCACCCTACACCCTCCTCACTCCCCGGTTCCCACTACCCTTCATGGGTGATCAGCTCTTAGTACCCTTGCAAATGGTGTAACAGTCTTGGAATTTGAAATCCCTGTTCTTCTTCACCTTCTTTCTATAGGGCTTCTTGAATGGATCAGAGTGATTCCAACTGGTCAAAGTCTCTGTATGGTGTTATAATTTTTCCTTTATAACAAAGTAAGTTGTTTTATATAAACAAATATTAAAATATTAATAATAAAAATTAAAGGTGACACTGCTGCAGAGACCAAGGAGCTGGAAACAAAATTTGTGTGGGAGATCCCTTTGTTGGAGTTTATTTATTACAGATACTTATATAGTGCTGTCATTTTGTGCATGCTTTACATATATATATTGTACATTCCCATCAGTCCCTAACCCTAAAGGGGTGTACAAGTCCCCAACTTACATTCATACATACACATACTAGGAACAGTTTAGACAGGATCCAATTAACCTACTGGCATGTCTTTGAAGTGTGGGAGGAAACTGGAATTCCCAGAGGAAACCCACGCAGGCACAGGGAGAACATACAAACTCCAGACAGGTGGTGCTGTGGCTGGGATTTGAACCAATGACCCTAGTACTGCCAGGCAGATGTGCTAACCATTTAGCCACTGTGCTACCCTGGTTTCTTCTGAGCAATGAAAATCCCTATTGTGGAGGAAATTTATTATCCACAAAGCATATCTGACTCTTAATTCTAGAGTCCAATTTATCTGGTGAGTGCAGTACATGTTGCATGTCACAGATGGTGTGAACACACTGAAATTTCTGTATACATCACTGTTTTGTTGAATTTGGAGCACGTTGAATTTGAACATTTTTTGGATTTGGACTTTCATTTTGGCACATATATTTATTTGGACATTTTTTATCATTTTTATTATTATTAATATTTTAATATTTGTTTATATTGTTTTCATTAATTTCATGCACTGTGTTTTTCACTTTACAATTTTTGTTTGATGTTTTGTCAACAAAGAGCAGCAGCATTGGATAAGGGCTTAATTATTTTAAAAACATTTTTTGGCGCAGATTGTTTATTTATATAGTTGTTTTATATGGTTGTAGTGTCTCTATGGTCACCTTATTGAGTCTCATTTGAGTTTGTAATTTTCTTGCTCTGTCAAAACAATAAAAACTATTGCAAAGGAAAAAAAAAAGGAAACAGCGGATTGTGTTGTACAATGTAATGCACTGTCCCTGTCGCCATGTAGGGGAATGCAGGCAAAAAATGTTTGGGCTATGAAACCGCTTTAAGGGCTCATTCACACTAGATGCACTTCAGTGCGCTTTTTTTTGTTCTGCATAAAAATGCATGCACAGTGTTTTTCCATGTATTCCAATGGCCCTGGTTCACACTACTGCAGTCAGTTTCAGCCAGTTTTCTGGTCCAGAAAAAAAAAGTACAACATGCTGCATTTTTTCTGCACAATCATACTGGAGCATGGCAAACTGCATCAAAACTGCGTGTGGTGTGAACTGTAAGCAAAAACTTATCCAGAATGCACCCAGAGTGCATTTTTGTAGTGTGAACTGGTCCTAAAGTTATTCTACAGGGAATCTTTTTAAATAAAAAAAAAATAAACACATCATACTTACCTGCTTTGTGTACCTGACCTCTCCAATGTGCCCCTAATACCACTCTGAGCTAATTACTCCTTACCCTAATGTGACAGTGATTGGACCTAGTGACAACTGAACTGTACTACACAGGGGCGAAGGTACAGAGCACGGCAGCAGGTAACGGCTAGTGGTATGTCCACTAACATACCACTGGTAACCAATCAATGACCAGCGACTGGTATGTTGCTAGATTGGAAGGGTGATATCTCTCATCGCCGGGATATCGTTTTTTTAGGGCTGGCGATTCCCTTGAATGTAAAAGTAATTCTAGCAGCTATGAAACCACTGGATTACTTTTACAGGCGGCAGAAGGGGTCCTAACCCCCTTCCACCACCATTACTTGGCTCTCCCAAGCAACCGGGGAGCCTGGTAAGGATGCCATTGGCTGCCCCGAACACAGTGAGAGGAACTGATCTTGTTCCTACTACTGTGTGACATCAGAAACCGAAATCGGTGAGGATTTTGTCACTTTCAGTTTTGGTTCCTTTGTTAACAAGCCATTGCCAGCTTGTGTAGCAGCAGATTAACTCCTTGGCGCTGAGCGTACGCAAATATTTGGCCTCTCGGCAGCTGGGCTTTGGCGGCCTGCACGCTCCTGGAACATCTACTGGCGCTTCACGGAAAGGTCCCGATCACTACTTGTGGTCGAGAGCTTTCTGATCATGTGACCAACATGACAGCCACTCAAGGTGGTCACATGACTCGAAATCCTGCCTCCCGACATCACAAACCCCTTAAAGGGCCAGGCAGCACTGGCGCCAAGGGTTTAAACCAGTCTTGGTGTGATCTGCTGCTTTGGAGAGCAGAGGAGAGACCTGAGGTCTCCATAAAGAGGATC